TCTGAACACTTTAGATGAAAAGCTGAGATTGCTTCATGAGAGGGATCTGGTGCGCTGACTATCTCTCCTGTCAAAGTTTAACGTGGCAGCAGAGGCAGGCCAGCACGTCCTGTTGCTTTTCACAATAAAACCAAAGTAAAATATAGAAATAACATTTTATACTCTACGGTTAACATGCACCGGGGTACTTTTAGCAGTTTTAATAAAATAGCATTTAAACCTGATAACAGTAAATAAATTTGGTCTGAGATCCACCCAGAAGAATCCACTGATGGTCTCCTGTGGGCCAGTTCAACAGCTTCCAGAGAGAACGGTGTTGGAGCAGCAGTGGGACTGAAGCGAGGGATGATCAGAGCAGAGAGAGGAAGCTGATCTTACCGTGCAGGAGGACCACAAACACCACAAACATCTTCTTCTTCCTGTCAAAGGTCCACAAGCACCAACTAGGAGACACTTTGAAAGGCCCTGAGGACATCAGCTCCCAGCAGCTCTCACGTTCCTCTGCTGATCATCTCCTGACACTCTGACAACACTTCACCTACAGGAAGTTTCCTCCCACACACACACACACACACACCCAGTGTGTTGGGGGCGGAGCTAGAGGTCTTCTGAAGTTTGTGTCAAGTGGAAACTGGGAGCGAGACTCTGCTGATGGTCAGCTTCAGATGCTGTTAGACTGGTTCTGTTGGACCAGGTCCAGATCAGAGCGGTTCTGTTGGACCAGGTCCAGATCAGGGCAGTTCTGAGGCAAGAGTTCCTGATCAACCAGTCTGAGTGAAACAAAAGCATCTCTGACTCATGATCAGGGAAAGTGGTTCTGGTTCTGGTTCTGATGGTTCTGGTTCTGGTTGTGAAGCTCAGCAGCAGAGACAGAACCAGAACCATACGGTGAACAGCCTCTGTTGTTCTTCACCAGACCAAACTTATTCCCCAGACGTTAACGCTGCTCCAGCAGAAGCTGCACCACACATGTGACCTCACAATGACAGATGTCATTCCTCTGGGCGTTTAGGGTTACCGTGGCAACTGTGTAGCTGCATCAGAGACCGTTACATCATTTTATTTTATTCTGACATTTATGGTTTAAAGAATAATTTATGTTAAGATGATATGGTTTATTTCAGGTTTGTTTAAACACACGTTAATAAAGTATTTGTTGATATTTGAGGTGGAACTAATGTTCCACGTGCTGTTTTTGTCCGGTCTGTAATTGTCACACTTCCGCCAGCAGAGGGCAGCGTTGTTCAGGCACACGTATGAAGGTTTCTGTTTGATGTCCTTTTACCATGTTGATGCTGACGAGCGGCTAATTAGACATGATTAGTAATGTTAAACATCACAGCTTTGCGATAATAACATGTTCTAAATCCACTTTAGGGTTAGTAAGACATGTATGGTCTAAAATGTGTGTTTATTGTTTATTCTCTAAGAGAATGTGTTTATATTATTAAACTGAACATTTTTGTGTTATTTGTACAGTTCTCGCGGCATGGCTGATGACACGAATGTGTCCAGTTTACAAAGAACGCCTCGTGTCCGTGACTCAACTTGGAGGGAGTTGCAAACCGCAGTTACCACGGTAACACATGGAGACGTCGCTGCTGTGATGCTCTTGGATGTAAACATCTGCCCCTTTAGCTCCTGGTCACATGACCGCAGCTTCAACACATCGCTGCTGAATGATAGCAACGTGCCACATTTGATCTTCAGTGACAGAAACGGCGTCGTAACCACGGCAGCGTTGGTGAAAACACGTCGGACATCACCGATGTGTGTTAGTGATGCCCGATGAGGACCTCTTCTCTGATGGTGCCAAAATAAATCTCTTATATAGCGTCTTTCAAGATTAAAACACAAAGCGCGTCACAAATAAAAAAATGAATGTAAAAAAGATTTTAAAAATTTATTAAAAACAAGTTTTAAACGAGAAAATAATAAAAAAAAGTGATTAAAAATGCAAGGAAAGGAAGAGAGAAAGTTCACAGGAAAGAGGGAAATCAGAGGATCCCAGGAAAGGTGGAATAAGCAGAATAAGGGGAGGGCGAGGGTGAAGGTCACGCAAAAACTATCCTGAACAGGTGAGTCTTCAGCTGCTTTTTAAAGGAGACCACTGAGTCCACCGATCTCAGGCTCAGGGGGAGAGAGTTCCAGAGTCTGGGGGCCACAGCAGCAAATGATCTGTCACCTTTGACCTTTAGCCTGGTGCTGCACAACCAGTAGGCTTTGATCACTGGACCTCAGGGACCTGCTGGGGGTGTAGGGACTAAGAAGATCACCAATGTAAGATGGTGCTTGTCCATGTAAGGCCCTATAGACCAGAACCAGGATCTAGAAATGAGCCCTGAAGTTGACTGGCAGCCAGTGAAGCTGGAGGAGAAGCGGGGTGATGTGGGTGTGTTTGGAGGACTTGGTCAGAAGCCGAGCACAGGCGTTCTGAACCACCTGTAGACGGTTCAGGGAGGTTCTGCTCAGACACGTGAAAAGAGAGTTACAGTAGTCTAAGCGTGAGGAGATGAAGGTGTGGAGAACTGTCTCAAGTTCAGAGCGAGACAGAATGGGACTCAGCTTAGCAACGTTCCTGAGATGGAAGAAGGAAGAGCGAACAAGAGAACTGACATGAGAATCCAGGGTGAGAGCTGGGTCAAAGGTCACGCCAAGATTCCTGATGGAAGGTTTGGTGTGAGAAGCAAGCTGACCAAGAGAGTCTCTGACTTTGGGAACCAGCTTGTCTGGGGCACAGATGAGAATCTCAGGCTTATCTTCATTCAGCTGTAGAAAGCTCCCATCATCCAGGTTTTGATAGAGTCTAAGCAGGTCGGTAACAGCTGCAGCTTAGACATCTCATGGGGCTTAAAGGAGAAGTACAGCTGGATGTCATCTGCATAAAGATGGTAGGAGATTCCTTTGAAGGAGCTCAGGATGTGCTGAAGAGGAAGCAGATAGAGGAGGAAGAGTAGAGGCCCCAGCACAGAACCTTGTGGGACACCATGGGTAAGAGAGGTGGTGGAGGACCTAAACTTGGAGACGGCCACAGAAAAGGAGCGCTCAGAGAGATAAGAGGAGAACCACTCCAGAGCAGGTCCTGATAGGCCTACCTAGTCTCTGAGCCTCTCCAGTAGCAGCTGATGGTCAACAGTGTCAAAGGCTGCAGTCAGGTCCAGCAGGACCAGAACAGAACAGTCCCCTGCATCACTGTGAGTCAGAAGGTCATTGGAGACCCTAAGAAGAACTGTTTCAGTAGAATGAGCTCTATGAAAACCAGACTGGAAGCTATCATAGATGTTATGTTCATCAAGAGCCGCTGTGAGTTGTTTAGCCACAACCTTTTCCAAGATCTTGGAGATGAACAGATGCTCAGAGATGGGTCTGAACTAGAAGTGAGCCACATCACAGCCGAGCTTCAGACGACAGGATGTGGACTCTTCTTTCCCGATATTTGGACGTCTCTCCCCTGATTGGCTAACAGCAGCACGACTCTACCCCTGACTCTCTCTCTGTAACATTGATGTTTTAGCAGATAACACAAGCTAGTGCAGGAGATAGATGTAGGAGACTATTCCCATGTTCAGCCTGCATGTTGAAATCAGATTAGAATCAGAAGTAATCATTAAAAATACATTTTTATTGTTCCACACCTTTAACGTTCTGCTGAGCAGTTGGTGTGTGAAAACGTCAGACCCGATCTCACGGCAAACCAAAACTAGCTACGGGTCCAAATGAAAGTAACCTTGACCGTGAGCTGTGGCGGCTGGCGTCTCTGCAGGACGTTTCTGGTGAACACAAGTGAATCCTGCTGGTTCAGAAACATCTGGGATGGCGTTCTCTGTGATGAAACATCTCATCAGTCATCAGGGAAACCAAAACTCTGGTAGGAACCGTCGCTGAAGGATTCAAACATCAGCTAGTTGGAGTCCATTACCCACAATCCCCTCTTCCTTGGACACCTGGAGGGTGACTGGCAGCCTCCATGTGAGACGCCAGAGGCTGCAGGCTGGAACAGACGTGAGTAAAGGTTTAAAATCGTAATAAAACAGCAGTTTGGTGTCCGGACAACGGCTCAGATGTTTCTGAGGAAACGAGGACCAGCTGGGTTATCGTGTGAAACTGATCTGAGGGTAAAAAGCTGCTGGTTTGATGCCAGCAGAGATTATTTAAGAGGGTTCAGTGATCACATCAGACAGCAGCACGCTCAACACAATCATGTTTTATTAAAAGCTCCATCAACAAAAACATTAAGATCCACCAGAAAGTCTGATTTCCGTCACCACTGATTTTATTTAGGTTCAACTTCCTGTTTTATATTTTATCTTCCTCTGGTGGAGCTCACCGGTGTTAAAGACACACTAACGGGGTTTTCCTAATTATCTCGCTGATCTTCATTATTCCTGGAAAAAAAACTAGCAGCAAAATTATGAGTCATGCTGCTTTTATCAGTGTGTCCAATTAATGTCACACTTTATTATGATGACTCAGCAGATCTGGTGCAGGATGACCTAACGCCAGGATAACTGTTGTTTCTCATTAAACATCCCGATTAATTATAATATCTTGTAAAATATGGCTCCAGTTGTCAAATAAGGAAGCTTTTATCCTGGAAATTCTTTTTACCTTATAATGATAATAATAATAATAATAATAATAATAATAATAATGACAATAAAATAATAATAATAATAATAATAATTATAAATAATAATAATAATATAATACTACTACTAATAATAATAATATTAATAATTATAATGATAAAAATAAAGAAATAAACAACTAACACAGGCAAATCTGCAGAGTTAATTTTACTCAAACGAAATGAGTTTATTCTGAAAAGAGTCAAATCTACTCTCAATTGTCCTAACCCTCGTGTCATTAGGTTACCAGAGCTCTTATGTCTAAGGTAAGTAATGAACTTTCATCAAAATCTCAAATGATCAACTAAAACATGTCAAAATAAACAGGTTTGTTACAAACAGGAATAAATAACTGATGTATAAATGAGCTCCTGCAGTTCAGAGACTTTCTTCTTTATTTAGAGGAAACAAAAGTTCATGGAGGTTAAAAGCAACGACTGACCCTCTGGTACTCCATAAAGGAGCCGTGACGTCAGTAAAACTCGCTCACTTGTTTTTATTTAACATTAAATGTTTGAGTCTTTGTTGTGTTATATCCCAGTCTGCTTGTTTTTATTCTCATTATTTATCTCTGTGATGAATGCAACTCGATATTCAGCCCAAAACACAACCTGGAGCTTCTTAACCAGCAAATGTATAAAAACAATAAAGTCAGAATGAATCTGAAAACCCGAGTTTTTATGTTGAAACATTCATGAGTTGGTCTGACAGCAGTTTTACATCCAGCCTCCATCCTCTTCTTCTGATGAAGATCTCCTCTTCATCCTCCTTCAGTCTGTTCAGTTTCATTCATATGAGGTCAGACGTCCTCAAGCATCAGATGAGTCCTCCTGCTGTTGGACATGAACAGGAGGAGGAGAAGAAGACACGTTACTTTTCAGCTCAATCAGATTTTCTTACATCCATCAAAAGTACAATTAGTCCAAAAAGTTCTTCTCCCAGCTCAGGAAGTCACATCCTCTCAGAGACGCTCCTCCTGTTGTCCCAAAAGTCCCAGAGTCTCTAGTCCTCCATCGTCTCCTCCTCCTCTTCTCCTGACGTCCTTCTGCTCCATCCTCTTCTGTTCTCCTCCACCAAGGTTCCTCTGACTGTCCTCACACATCAGTGGCGTTCAGATGGGCCGACATGGCGTCCTGGGTCTCCAGAACAATCTTCTTTGCCCTCCCTCCTCCCCCTCCCCCGGTGGGATGGATGCTGTCCAGCCGCCCTCCCCTCCCCCTCTCCCTACGACACTTGAAGACAGCGAGGAAGGCGGCGCGGTAGTTGCGGTTCATCCACCCGTAGAGCAGCGGGTTGGCGAAGGTGGAGCACATGGCCACCACGTGGAAGAGGGTGTAGAGCAGGCGGAAGTCGCGCATGTCCAGCACCGTGCTGTCGATGTCGGTGGCCAGCTGGAAGGCGTGGAAGGGCAGCCAGCTGACGGCAAACACCACCACCATGGTCACCAGCATCTTAGTGGTTTTGCGGCGCCGGCGGTGTCGCTCGGAGCCGGCGCTGCTGGTGCCGCCATTCTCCGCTGGGCTGACGTGGCCTCGTAGTTTGGACCAGATGCGAGCGTAGGCGAAGGAGATGATGGACAGCGGCAGGAAGTACTGCAGGATCAGCATGGAGATGCTGTAGAGGGTTCCATCGGTGTTCTTACCGGGCCACTTCTCCGTACAAACCTGGACACAAACAGAACCGTGGACCAGTTTGGACAAGGCTAGCTGATGCTACCAGAGGGTAACATATGCTAGCAGATGCTAACAGAAGCTAACAGAGGCTAGCAGATACTAACAGTAGCTAACAAATGCTAACAGAAGCTAACAGATGCTAGCAGAGGCTAGCAGAAGCTAACAGATAATAACAGAGGCTAACAAATGCTAGCAAAGGCTAACAGAGGCTAGCAGAGGCTAACAGATCCTAACAGAGGCTAACAGATGTTAGCGGAGGCTAACAGATGCTAGCAGAGGCTAACAGATGGTAACAGAAGCTAACAAATGCTACCAGAGACCAGCAGATACTAACAGAAGCTAACAGATGCTTGCAGAGGCCAAGAGATGGTAACAAAGCTAACAGATGCTAGCAGAGGCAAGCAGATGCTAACAGACGCTAGCAGAGGCTAGCAGATGCTACCAGAGGCTAGCAGATACTAAAGCTAACATATACTAACAGGGGCTAACAGATGCTAGCAGAGGCCAACAGACGGTAACAAAAGCTAACAGATGCTAGCAGATACTAACAGAAGCTAACAAAAGCTAACAGTAGTTAACAGATGCTAGCAGCTGGTTCTGGTATCTTCTGTGTGAAGTTCCCTTCAGTAGGCCACATCCAAACTGGTCCTCTTTATAAGGACAAGACATAAACAATGGACATCCAGACCCCTGTAGAAGCTCTCCTCTACTGCAGGAGTAGAAATGAAAAACATCTGTGTGTGAAAACATTTATCTTCCATCTAGTTTCTCTTCTCCGGGGATGCTAGGCTAACAGCTAATGTGAGAACAACTTAATCTATTTTTTTACCATCCAAGAGAAGTGATTTTAAATTGGATCGGCTCAAAAGATATGAAACTACAGAAGTCATGATTCAGCCACCTCATTATTTTAATCAGTACGTCTCTGAGTAAAGGACACAAAGATCTCCTGTGAGTGTGTAGTAAGAGGAGCTGTTAATATCAGCTTCCTACAGAAGATGAAAGCAAGTGAAACTTCAGAGGGTGGAGGTAAGATTATCAGTTGGAGCAGATCAATGTGGAAAAGAGCAGTCAACAAAGATAAAAGGGTCTGACTAGAGAGAGAGAGAGCAGGAATCAGAGGACGAGTGATGTGGTTATGATGGTAGCAGCAGCATGGAGGAGCAGAAGGAGGAGGAGGGAGGTAGGGGTTTTCTGCTCCTCACCTGGATGGTGTGTCCTGGCTCCAGGGTGAAGGAGCCGTACTCTCTGAAGATGGCCAGAGGGCTGGCCAGGACGCCGCTCAGGACCCAGGTGAGAGCGATCACACCGAAACACACGTCCTTACGCATCCTGGTCTCCAGGTGGTACACGAT